GTGTGGGAAGCTGTAAGCCCCAGGCTACTTTGGGCTCGCCTTCCCATCAACCGGAGGCGAGGAATGGTGGTCGTGGTTACTTATGCCCCCACCGAAGATGAACATCCGTGGAGGGATGCAGGCAAAGCCGATGAGTCAGATGCCTTCTGTGACCTCCTGTCACAGGTGCTGGCTAAAGTGGCCCCTCGGGATAGAGTCATCATGTTGGGTGACTTTAATGCCCGAGTTGGTCATGATACTGGCACCTGGTCTGGAGTGATTGGAGGGCATGGGCCAGATCAGCTCAATAACAACGGTAGGAGGCTGCTAGATTTTTGTGCAGCCCATGGGCTTGTAATTACCAACACGCTGTTCCGGCATCGGCGCATCCACACAACATCATGGATGCATGCCGGGTCCAAGCAAGAACATCTGCTGGACTACATAGTGACGGACCAGCGGATGCGAGCCTATGTCCTTGACACCAGGACCTACCGTGGAGCTGATCTGCCCTCTGACCATCGACTAGTCATATGTAAGATGCGCCTGCCATTCTTCCACTCCGGTGGTGGGTGTACACCCAGGACCCCATTCCGACCTAAAGTGCCCTGGTCTCGGTTATCTGATGAAAGTTGCAAGCGAGAATTTCATCATCGCTTGCGGCTGGGATTGGCATCGTCCCCGACTCCTCCTGATGCCGAGAGTAAATGGGCGAGGTTTAGGACTGTGACTCATGCAGCTGCAATGGCTGCTTTGGGTACGCGGTCCAGACCTCCCCAGAGACCCTGGCTGACAGAGGAGGTGTTCAGGATGGTTGAGAAAAAGCGACAGGCCCACTGTCATCGGCTACAGAATCCCACGTCAGAGAATGAGGAGGCTTACCGCAGCCTTCGCTCGGAGGTTCGGAGAGCCGTGAGGCGCTGCAAGGATGGGTGGTGGTCGCGGGTTGCTGAGGAGATGGAGTCTGCCTCAGTGGCCCGCGATCACAAATCTCTATTTAACTCCATCAAAAAAGTAACCTGCAGCACCACACCTATTACCATAATTAGGGGAAAAAACGGTGATCCAATCTCCGACCCCCAGGAACAGGTTTGCAGATTTGCTGAGCATTTCTGAGGTCCTGGGGGAGGGAAAATCCCTCAGCCAGGAAAACATCGTGGCACAAAGTGAGGATGACCCTGCTGAGGCTGCGGTGCCTCAAATATTGGAAGAAGTCACCCTCTGTGAGTGGCTGGCTGAGGTGCCATCTGTTGAGGAAGTACTGAAGGCGATCCGGAGTCTGAGACCAGGAAAGGCAGCGGGCAGAGATGATCTCCCAAGCGAAATGTTGAGGGAGGGTGGCGTTTGTGCACAGACTGCCCTATATGACAATCATAACAACGGTCTGGGCCGGTGGACGGGTTCCGCAGGATTGGAAGGATGCCCTGGTGGTCCCCCTCTTTAAGAAGGGGGACTGCACAGACTGTAACAACTACAGGGGCATCTCACTCCTCAGTGTGCCAGGAAAGGTCCTGGCAAGGATTATTCAGCATCGCCTTGCCAGGCACGCTGAGGAGAGGCTTGCGGAGCCCCAATGCGGTTTCAGGAAAGGGCGGTCCTGCACAGATGCCATATTTTCTGTCCGTCTGCTACAGCAGAGGTGTAGGGAATTCCATCAAGACCTACATCTCTGCTTTATTGACCTGGTCAAGGCCTATGATACCATCAGTAGGCCTGGGCTCTGGGTTGTTCTTCGGGCTTTTGGAGTACCTGACCCTCTGCTCACGATCATTAAGGACCTTCATGATGGTGAGCGGGCCCGGGTAAAACTACGTGGCCGGGAGTCAGAGCCATTCCCTGTACACCTTGGGGTGCGACAGGGATGTCCTCTGGCTCCCACATTATTTAACATCTATTTTGACCACGTAGTTTGTGAAGCCTTCAATAGCTGTACCGGGGGAATCTCCATATGGTACAGATATAATGGGAGACTGATCGATGCCTGGGTGCGGTCAAGGGATGGCTCCCTATTGGTCAACCACGTTATGTATGCCGATGATTTGGTAATAGCTGCTCATTCAGAGGAGGAGTTGGAGACGCTGCTGCTGAGACTGGAGCGTGCCACTAAGAGATGGGGCCTTACCATCAGCCCCACCAAAACTAAGCACCTAACTAAGCATCGGACACTCCACCCCCACAACTCCCAATCGGTGATGGGGCAGTTGTGGAGAGAGTGGAGAGTTTCCCATACCTGGGTAGTGTGCTTATGACTGGCTCCAGTTTAACAGCAGAGGTCTCACTCCGAATCAGTCGAGCGGCAATATCTTTTCATCGGTTGCGTAACGCTGTGTGGAAGCTACCTGGTCTGTCGCTCCGCACTAAGCTTCAGGTCTTCTCGGCCACGGTCATTCCCTCCCTTCTCTACGCTTGCGAAACGTGGACCCCCCTAATGGAACATCTTCGCCGGTTAGAAACATTTAGGCTGGCCTGCCTACGATCCATCCTGGGTTTAACCAGACTGGATTGTGTGAGGAGCTCACAAATCCCTTGAAAGATCTGGGCAAGGTCCCATCGGTGAGCTCCTCCGGCGGGCAAGGCTGCGATGGCTGGGTCATGTAGCCCGCATGCCCAGCCAACGCATGCCGAAACAGCTTTTGTTCGGCCGGATTGAGGGGGCTAAGCGGGCGCGGCACGGGCTAGAGAAGAGATGGAGTGATGTGGTACAGGAGGACGTGGAGCTGAGTGGACTTGCCGATGACTGGTACCAGCGGTGTCAAGATCGGCCTCTGTGGAGGAGGCTCGTGAAGGATGCTACTGGGCAGTTGGAGGTAGTTGCCCTCCAACAACGGAGGGCGGAGGAGCGACGCTCACAACAACGAGCGGAGCGCCTGGTGGCTAAAGCACAGCAGGTTGGCACAGTAGGGGGCACAGGTGGTGCATCAGCCAGTCATCTCAGTCAGTCGACCCGTGGCACCTGGGTCTGCCCCGTGACCTCCTGCCAGCGGGCGTTCGACACTTCACGTGGCCTCAGGGTGCACATAGCCTGGCACAAGCGTCGTGGTGACGTCACCGCCACTTAGTGGCGAATGGCGGTTGTTGTTGTTGTTAGTCTATGGGTGGTGTTAGTCTATGGGTGGTGTTAGTCTATGGTTAGTGTTGAGTCTATGGGTAGTGTTAGTCTATGGGTAGTGTTGAGTCTATGGGTGGTGTTAGTCTATGGGTAGTGTTAGTCTGTGGGTGGTGTTAGTCTATGGGTGGTGTTAGTCTATGGGTAGTGTTAGTCTATGGGTAGTGTTGAGTCTATGGGTAGTTAGTCTATGGGCAGTGTTAGTCTATGGGCTGTGTTAGTCTATGGGTAGTGTTAGTCTATGGGTAGTGTTAGTCTATGGGTAGTGTTAGTCTATGGGTAGTGTTAGTCTATGGGTAGTGTTAGTCTGTGGGTAGTGTTAGTCTGTGGGTAGTGTTAGTCTATGGGTAGTGTTAGTCTATGGGTAGTGTTAGTATATGGGTAGTGTTAGTCTATGGGTGGTTTTGAGTTTATGGGTAGTGTTAGTCTATGGTGCAGTGTTAGTCTATGGTGCAGTGTTGAGTCTATGGGTAGTGTTAGTCTATGGGTGGTGTTAGTCTATGGGTAGTGTTAGTCTATGGGTAGTGTTGAGTCTATGGGTAGTGTTGAGTCTCTGGGTAGTGTTGAGTCCATATGTGGAGTCTGCGTCTCTCTGCCCGTGGTGAGATGTTGATGACCTCGCCTGGTCTGCAGGAGATCGTTGGTTCGATTCCTAACCTGACGATGCCTGCTGCTGCTGCATATTTGGGGGTCTGCCTCTCTCCCCCGTGGTGGTCACTGCGTGGATTTTAGAATCGACGTCACAGCCACTTGCATTTGAGCTGCCATCACCACGTGTGATGGCCAGGTCGCTTGTCTCGAGCGGCTCAGCGGGGTGCCTTTCTTACACCTGGTTACTAGTAAACATAGTTTAGTGTTTGTGTGGGGGTCTCCTCTGTGTGCATGCGTCTCTTCCGGGGGCTCTGTAGGTGTCCTGTGATTCTCGGCGTGTCTCTACGAGTCTGGCACTTTGTGGGTCTCTGTGGCTCTTGATGGGTCTCTGTGGGTGTCCTGTGGGTCCTCTATAAGTATGTGGCTCTCCGCTAAGCCACGCGGTGTGGGTCTCTGTGGGTGTTTGTGGGTCTCTGTGGGTGTTGATGGGTCTCTGTGGGTGTCCTGTGGGTCTCTGTGGGTGTTGGTGGGTCTCTGTGGGTGTTGATGGGTCTCTGTGGGTCTCTGTGGGTGTTGATGGGTCTCTGTGGGTGTCCTGTGGGTCTCTGTGGGTGTCCTGTGGGTCTCTGTGGGTGTTGATGGGTCTCTGTGGGTGTCCTGTGGGTCTCTGTGGGTGTTGGTGGGTCTCTGTGGGTCTCTGTGGGTGTTGATGGGTCTCTGTGGGTGTCCTGTGGGTCTCTGTGGGTGTCCTGTGGGTCTCTGTGGGTGTTGGTGGGTCTCTGTGGGTGTTGGTGGGTCTCTGTGGGTGTTGATGGGTCTCTGTGGGTCTCTGTGGGTGTTGATGGGTCTCTGTGGGTGTTGATGGGTCTCTGTGGGTGTTGATGGGTCTCTGTGGGTCTCTGTGGGTGTTGATGGGTCTCTGTGGGTGTCCTGTGGGTCTCTGTGGGTGTTGGTGGGTCTCTGTGGGTGTTGATGGGTCTCTGTGGGTGTTGATGGGTCTCTGTGGGTCTCTGTGGGTGTTGATGGGTCTCTGTGGGTGTTGATGGGTCTCTGATGGGTCTCTGTGGGTCTCTGTGGGTCTCTGTGGGTGTGCTGTGGGTCCTCTATAAGTATGTGGCTCTCCGCTAAGCCACGCGGTGTGAGCCTCCATCGCTGCCTGCGATGGTGGCCAGGTACCGCTGTGTCTCAACAAAGATCTGCTGAACAGGAGCTCACGTGGTAGGCCCTCCCCCCTCCTTGCACCTGGTAACATTAACATAGTGTAGTGTTAGTGTGGGTCTCTGTGGCTGTTTGTGGGTCTCTGTGGGTGTCCTGTGGGTCTCTGTGGGTGTCCTGTGGGTCTCTGTGGGTGTCCTGTGGGTCTCTGTGGGTGTTGGTCGGTCTCTGTGGGTCTCTGTGGGTGTTGATGGGTCTCTGTGGGTCTCTGTGGGTGTTGATGGGTCTCTGTGGGTGTCCTGTGGGTCTCTGTGGGTGTCCTGTGGGTCTCTGTGGGTGTTGGTGGGTCTCTGTGGGTGTTGGTGGGTCTCTGTGGGTGTTGATGGGTCTCTGTGGGTCTCTGTGGGTGTTGATGGGTCTCTGTGGGTCTCTGTGGGTGTTGATGGGTCTCTGTGGGTCTCTGTGGGTGTTGATGGGTCTCTGTGGGTCTCTGTGGGTCTCTGTGGGTGTTGATGGGTCTCTGTGGGTCTCTGTGGGTGTCCTGTGGGTCTCTGTGGGTGTTGGTGGGTCTCTGTGGGTGTTGGTGGGTCTCTGTGGGTGTTGATGGGTCTCTGTGGGTCTCTGTGGGTGTTGATGGGTCTCTGTGGGTCTCTGTGGGTATTGATGGGTCTCTGTGGGTCTCTGTGGGTCTCTGTGGGTGTTGATGGGTCTCTGTGGGTCTCTGTGGGTGTTGATGGGTCTCTGTGGGTGTTGATGGGTCTCTGTGGGTCTCTGTGGGTGTTGATGGGTCTCTGTGGGTCTCTGTGGGTGTCCTGTGGGTGTCTCTGCTAAGCCACGCGGTGTGAGCTGTCATCGCTGCGTGCGATGGTGGCCAGGTACCGCTGTGTCTCAACAAGTAGCCACTGAACAGGAGCTCACCTGGTGGTGGTGGAGGTGGTGGTGGTGGAGGTGGTGGTGGTGGTGGAGGTGGTGGTGGTGGTGGTGGAGGTGGTGGTGGTGGTGGAGGTGGTGAAGGTGGTGGTGGTGGTGAAGGTGGTGGTGGTGGTGGTGGAGGTGGTGGTGGTGGAGGTGGTGGTGGTGGTGGTGTTGAAGGTGGTGGTGGTGGAGGTGGTGGTGGTGGTGGAGGTGGTGGTGGTGGTGAAGGTGGTGGTGGTGGAGGTGGTGGAGGTGGTGGTGGTGGAGGTTTTGGAGGTGGTGGTGGTGGAGGTGGTGGTGGTGGAGAAGGTGGTGGAGGGTGGTGGAGGTGGTGGAGGTGGTGGAGGTGGTGGTGAAGGTGGTGGTGAAGGTGGTGGTGGTGGTGGTGGAGGTGGTGGTGGTGGTGAAGGTGGTGGTGAAGGTGGTGGTGGTGGTGGTGGAGGTGGTGGTGGTGGTGAAGGTGGTGGTGGTGGTGGAGGTGGTGGTGGTGAAGGTGGTGGAGAAGGTGGTGGTGAAGGTGGTGGTGGAGGTGGTGGTGGTGGTGGAGGTGGTGGTGGAGGTGGTGGAGAAGGTGGTGGAGGGTAACAAATAAACAGAACAGCTGTCGACTTCAGATGGGGAAACGTGGATGGAGTGAGGAGGTGGTGGAGGCTCCCGCGTCCCGCTGCTCTCTCCCTCAGCTGCGAGGCCGTGGGGGCCGTGGGGGCCGTGGGGGCCGTGGGGGGCGTGGGGGGCGGAGGAGTGGGGGGCACCCTGAAGTCGACGGACGACGAGGAGGACCTGGAGCACGATGAGGGCTTTGGCAGTGACCACGAGGAGAGCGACGAGGATGAGGAGGATGAGGAGGATGAGGAGGAGGATGATGAGGAGGAGGAGGAGGACGATGATAAGGACAGAGATGAGCTGAGCGACACCTTCTCTGAAACAGGTGGAGTGGCTTCGCATGGAACTAGCACTCAACTAGCACTCAACTAGCACTCAACTAGCACTCCACTAGCACGCAACTTACATTATGAGACCTCCTTTGCCAGAAACAAGATATAGGAATAGGTTTTACCCTTTTAACTGGCACAAAAAAACTGACACCTTTATTCAAGGCATCATGTTTGCAATAACCACAACACAAGCAGTCAGAATGCAAACAAAAAAGACAACTCTGATAATAATATTGGCACTGTCCTTGAATTTGATTGGTCCACACCAGAAACGGCTTTTCTTAGAGCCCCTTTAGTCTCTCCACTGGTCCAACGCCAAAAGGCATACAACTCAACAACAGCGCACTATCAGAGTTATTGAATGCTCGGGGTGAGAATTTACATTGAGACCTCCTTTGCCAGTAAACAAGATATAGTAATGAGGTTTTTACCCTTTTAACTGGCACAAAAACTGACGCCTTTATTCAAGGCATCGTGTTTGCAATAACCACAACACAAGCAGTCAAAATGCAAACAAAAAAGACAACTCTGATAATAATATTGGCACTGTCCTTGAATTTGAAGGGTAAAACCTATTCATTCCTATATCTTGTTTCTGGCAAAGGAGGTCTCATAATGTAAATGCTCACCCCGAGCACCTCAATAACTCTGATAGTGCACTGTTGTTGAGTTGTACGCCTTTTGGCGTCTTCTGGTCCAACACCAGTGGAGAGACTAAAGGGCTCTAAGAAAAGCCGTCTCTGGTGTGGACCAATCAAATTCAAGGACAGTCCCAATATTATAATCATCAGAGTTGTCTTTTTTTGTTTGCATTTTGACTGCTTGTGTTGTGGTTATTGCAAACATGATGCCTTGAATAAAGGTGTCAGTTTTTTTTGTGCCAGTTAAAAGGGTAAAACCTATTCCTATAGCACGCAACTATCACTCAACTAGCACTCAACTAGCACTCAACTAACACTCAACTATCACTCAACTATCACACAACTATCACTCAACTATCACTCAACTATCACTCAACTAACACTCAACTATCACTCAACTAGCACACAATTATCACTCAACTAGCACACAACTATCACTCAGCTATCACTCAACTAGCGCATAACTAGCACACAACTATCACTCAACTAGCACACAACTATCACTCAACTAGCACTCAACTAGCACACAACTAACACTCAACTATCACTCAACTAGCACTCAACTAGCACACAACAAACACTCAACTATCACTCAACTAACACTAAACTATCACTCAACTAGCACTCAACTAGCACTCAACTAGCACACAACTAACACTCAACTAACACTCAACTAGCACTCAACTAACACTAAACTATCACTCAACTATCACTCAACTAGCACACAACTAACACACAACTATCACTCAACTAGCACTCAACTAGCACTCAACTAGCACACAACTAACACTCAACTATCACTCAACTAACACTAAACTATCACTCAACTATCACTCAACTAGCACACAACTAACACACAACTATCACTCAACTATAACTCAACTAACACTCAACTTTCACTCAACTATCACTCAACTAGCACACAACTAGCACTCAACAAGCACACAACTATCACTCAACTATCACTAAACTATCACTCAACTATCACTCAACTAGCACAACTATCACTCAACTAGCACTCAACTATCACTCAACTAGCACTCAACTATCACCCAACTAGCACACAACTATCACTCAACTAGCACACAACTAACACTCAACTAGCACACAACTAGCACACAACTAGCACACAACTATCACTCAACTAACACTCAACTATCACTCAACTAACACTCAACTATCACTCAACTATCACTCAACATGCACACAACTAGCACACAACTATCACTCAACTATCACACAACTATCACACAACTATCACTCAACTAGCACAACTATCACTCAACTAACACACAACTAAGACTAAACTATCACACAACTATCACTCAACTAGCACTCCACCTCCATCACCACCACGCCACCACCATCACCACCACACCACCACCATCACCACCACACTACCGCCATCACCACCACCATCACCACCACACCACCGCCATCACCACCAGGCTACCGCCATCACCACCACACCACCACCATCACCACCACACCACCACCATCACCACCACGCTACCTCCATCACCACCAGGCTACCTCCATCACCACCAGGCTACCGCCATCACCAGCACCATCACCACCACACCACCACCATCACCACCACACCATCGCCATCACCACCACACTACCACCATCACCACCACCATCACCACCACACCACCACCATCACCACCACACCATTGCCATCACCACCACACTACCACCATCACCACCACACCACCACCATCACCACCACACCATCACCACCAGGCCACCTCCATCACCACCACCACTAGACTGCGTGTGACCCTGCCGTGACCCTGCCCGCGACCCCCGCCCCCTGACCCCGCCCCCTACCCCCCGAACCCCACCCCCTGCCTCCCAACTCCGCCCCCCCACCTCGCTCCCGACTCCGCCCTCTCGCCCCAATCCCCCCCTGCCCCCTGACCCCGCCCACTGCCTCCCGACTCCGCCCCCTGCCCCCCCTGACCCCGCCCACTGCCTCCCGACTCCACCCCACTGCCCCCCGACTCCGCCCCCTTCCCCCTGCCCCCTGACCCCGCCCACTGCCTCCCGACTCCACCCCACTGCCCCCCCGACTCCGCCCCCTTCCCCCTGCCCCCTGACCCCGCCCACTGCCTCCCGACTCCGCCCCACTGCCCCCCGACTCCGCCCCCTTCCCCCTGCCCCCTGACCCCGCCCACTGCCTCCCGACTCCGCCCCACTGCCCCCCCGACTCCGCCCCCTTCCCCCTGCCCCCTGACCCCGCCCACTGCCTCCCGACTCCAATCCCGACTCCGCCCCCCATGCCCCCCGTGCCCCCCCGTGCCCCCCGCGCGTGACCGCAGGCCTCGACGTGCCCACCGCGACGCTGTGCGGGGCCGGCGGCGACGACGGCGACGACGGCGACGACGACGACGAGGAGGAGGGGGAGGGGGAGGAGGGGGGGGGGTGGTGGTGCGGGGGGGGCACTCCGCGGGGGGCCCGCGGAGTGCCCCCCCCGGCGCCGCAAGCACCGCTACTTCTGGGAGTACGGGGAGCATCACCCCCCACCGCCCAAGCTGGACCGCAGCCTCACGGCGCCCGAGTGGGACCGCGACACCCTGCCCTCAAACGTGTACCGCTTGGGTGGCGGGCACGGTACTACACACACACACTCACTGTTACACTCACTCATACACTCACTGTTACACACTCACTGTTACACTCACACATACACTCACACATACACTCACTCATACACTCACTCATACACTCACACATACACTCACTCACTCATACACTCACACATACACTCACACATACACTCACTCATACACTCACACATACACACACTCATACACTCACTCACACACTCACTCACACCCTGCCCTCAAACGTGTACCGCTTGGGTGGCGGGCACGGTAATACACTCACTCACACTCACACACTCACACATACACTCACTCATACACTCACTGTTACACTCACTCATACACTCACTCACTCACACCCTGCCCTCAAACGTGTACCGCTTGGGTGGCGGGCACGGTACTACACTCACTCACACACTGTTACACTCACACACACATACACTCACATACACTCACACCCTGCCCTCAAACGTGTACCGCTTGGGTGGCGGGCACGGTAATACACTCACACACTGTTACACTCACACACATATACACTCACACACACATACATACACTCACTCATACACTCACACCCTGCCCTCAAACGTGTACCGCTTGGGTGGCGGGCACGGTAATACACACTCACTCATACACTCACACACATACACTCACATACACTCACTCACTCATACACTCACTCACTCATACACTCACTCACTCATACACTCACATACACTCACTCACTCATACACTCACTCACTCATACACTCACTCACTCATACACTCACTCACTCATACACTCACTCACTCACACACTCATACACTCACTCATACACTCACTGTTACACACTCACACATACACTCACATACACTCACTCACTCACACACTCACTCACTCATACACTCACTCACTCACACCCTGCCCTCAAACGTGTACCGCTTGGGTGGCGGGCACGGTAATACACACACACTGTTAGTACACACTCACACATACACTCACACACACATACATACACTCACTCATACACTCACTCAGTCACTCACTCACTCATACACTCACTCATACACTCACTCATACACTCACTCATACACTCACTCACTCATACACTCACTCATACACTCACTCATACACTCACTCACTCATACACTGTTACACACTCTCACACATACACTCACTCACACCCTGCCCTCAAACGTGTACCGCTTGGGTGGGGGGCACGGTAATACTACTACATACTGTTACACTCACACTCATATACACTCACACACACACACTCACATACACTCACTCACTCATACACTCACTCATACACTCACTCACTCATACACTCACTCACTCATACACTCACTCACTCATACACTCACTCACTCATACACTCACTCACACACTCACTCACTCACCACTCACTCACTCACACCCTGCCCTCAAACGTGTACCGCTTGGGTGGCGGGCACGGTAATACACTCACACACTGTTAGTACACACTCACACATACACTCACACATACACTCACTCATACACTCACTCATACACTCACTCACTCATACACTCACTCACTCATACACTCACTGTTACACTCACACACTCACTCACTCACTCATACACTCACTCACTCATACACTCACTCACTCATACACTCACTCATACACTCACTCACTCACTCATACACTCACGCATACACTCACTCATACACTCACTCACACACTCATACACTCACTCATACACTCACTCATACACTCACTCACACACTCATACACTCACTCATACACTCACTCATACACTCACTCACACACTCATACACTCACTCATACACTCACTCATACACTCACTCATACACTCACTCATACACTCACTCATACACTCACTCACTCATACACTCACTCATACACTCACTCATACACTCACTCACTCATACACTCACTCATACACTCACTCACTCATACACTCACTCATACACTCACTCACTCATACACTCACTCATACACTCACTCACACACTCACTCACTCACACTCATACACTCACACATACACTCACTCACTCATACACTCACTCACTCATACACTCACTCACACACACACTCACTCATACACTCACTCACTCATACACTCACTCATACACTCACTCATACACTCACTCACACACTCATACACACACTCACTCATACACTCACACACACACTCACTCATACACTCACTCACACACTCATACACTCACTCATACACTCACTCATACACTCACACACTCATACACACACTCACTCATACACTCACTCATACACTCACACACTCACACACACACTCACTCACACCCTGCCCTCAAACGTGTACCGCTTGGGTGGGGGGCACGGTAATACACACACACTCACTCACACACTGTTACACTCACACACACACACTCACTCATACACTCACTCATACTCACTCACTCATACTCACTCACTCACTCATACACTCACTCATACACTCACTCATACTCACTCACTCACTCATACACTCACTCATACACTCACTCACTCATACACTCACACACTGTTACACTCACTGTTACACTCACTGTTACACTCACACACTCACACACACACTCACTCATACATACACTCACACATACACTCACTCATACATACACTCACACATACACTCACACACTGTTACACTCACACTCATATACACTCACACACACACACTCACACACACACTCACTCATACTCACTCATACACACACTCACACCCTGCCCTCAAACGTGTACCGCTTGGGTGGGGGGCACGGTAATACTACTACATACACTGTTACACACTCACTCATTGTTACACACTCACATACACTCATACATACACTCACTCACTCATACACTCACTCATACACTCACTCACACACTCACTCACTCACTCATACACTCACTCACTGTTACACTCACACACTCATACACTCACTCATACACTCACTCACACACTCACTCATACACTCACTCAGTCACTCACTCACTCATACACTCACTCACTGTTACACTCATACACACTCACACCCTGCCCTCAAACGTGTACCGCTTGGGTGGCGGGCACGGTAATACTACTACACACACTCACTCACACACACATACACACACTCACTCATACACTCACTGTTACACTCACACATACACTGTTACACTCACTGTTACACTCACACACTCACACATACACTCACTCATACACTCACATACACACTCACACACTCACACCCTGCCCTCAAACGTGTACCGCTTGGGTGGCGGGCACGGTAATACTACTACATACACTCACACTCACACTCACTGTTACACTCACTCACACATACACTCACACACTCACACATACACTCACTCACTCATACACTCACTCACTCATACACTCACTCACTCATACACTCACTCATACACTCACTCATACACTCACTCATACACTCACTCACTCATACACTCACTCACTCATACACTCACTCATACACTCACTGTTACACACTCACATACACACACTCACACCCTGCCCTCAAACGTGTACCGCTTGGGTGGCGGGCACGGTACTACACACACACACACACTGTTACACACTCACTGTTACACTCACACACACACTCATACACTCACTCACACACTCACTCACTCACCACTCACTCACTCACACCCTGCCCTCAAACGTGTACCGCTTGGGTGGGGGGCACGGTAATACTACTACATACACTCACACACACACTGTTACACTCACACTCACACACACACTCACACACTCACTCACTCATACACTCACTGTTACACACTCACACACACTCACTCATACACTCACACACTCATACACTCATACACTCACACCCTGCCCTCAAACGTGTACCGCTTGGGTGGGGGGCACGGTACTACACACCACTCACACACTCACTGTTACACTCACTGTTACACTCACATACACTCACACACTCACTCACTCACTCATACACTCACTGTTACACTCATACACACTCACTCATACACTCACACATACACTCACACATACACTGTTACACTCACTGTTACACTCACACACTCACACACACACTCACTCATACACTCACTCACACACTCACACCCTGCCCTCAAACGTGTACCGCTTGGGTGGGGGGCACGGTAATACACTCACACTGTTACACTCACTGTTACACTCACTGTTACACTCACTCATACACTCACTGTTACACTCATACACACACACACTCACTCATACATACACTCACACATACACTCACTCATACATACACTCACACATACACTCACACACTGTTACACTCACACTCATATACACTCACACACACACACTCACACACACACTCACTCATACTCACTCATACACACACTCACACCCTGCCCTCAAACGTGTACCGCTTGGGTGGGGGGCACGGTAATACTACTACATACACTGTTACACACTCACTCACTGTTACACACACTGTTACACACACTGTTACACTCACTGTTACACACTCACATACACACACTCACACCCTGCCCTCAAACGTGTACCACTTGGGTGGGGGGCACGGTACTACACTCACTGTTACACTCACACTCATACACACACTGTTACACTCACTGTTACACTCACTGTTACACTCACACTCATACACACTCACTCACTCATACACTCACACATACACTCACTCACTCATACACTCACTCATACAAACTCACTCACTCACACACACACTCACACCCTGCCCTCAAACGTGTACCGCTTGGGTGGGGGGCACGGTAATACTACTACATACACTGTTACACACTTACTCATACACTCACTCATACACTCACTCACTCATACACTCACTCATACACTCACTCACACACTCACTCACTCATACACTCACTCATACACTCACTCATACACTCACTCATACACTCATACACACACTCACTCACACACTCACTCACACACTCATACACTCACTCACACACTCACTCACTCAAACACTCACTCACTCATACACTCACTCATACACTCACTCATACACTCACTCATACACTCACTCACTCACACACTCACTCATACACTCACTCACTCACACACTCACTCACTCATACACTCACTCATACACTCACTCACTCACACACTCACTCACTCATACACACTCATACACTCACTCATACACTCACTCATACACTCACTCATACACTCACTCATACACTCACTCACTCACACACTCACTCATACACTCACTCACTCACACACTCACTCACTCATACACTCACTCATACACTCACTCACTCACACACTCACTCACTCATACACACTCATACACTCACTCATACACTCACTCATACACTCACTCATACACTCACTCATACACTCACTCATACACTCACACACTCACTCATACACTCACTCACTCACACACTCACTCACTCATACACTCACTCATACACACTCACTCACACACTCACTCATACACTCACTCATACACTCACTGTTACACTCACACACACACACTCACTCACACACTCACTCACACACTCACTCATACACTTACTGTTACACTCACACACACACTCACTCATACACTTACTGTTACACTCACACACACACACTCACTCACACACTCACTGTTACACTCACACACACTCACTCTCTCATACACTCACTCATACACTCACTCATACACTCATACACTCACTCACTCATACACTCACTCATACACTCACTCACTCATACACTCACTCATACACTCACTCATACACTCACACACACTCATACACACACTCACTCATACACTCATACACTCACTCACTCACTCATACACTCACTCACTCATACACTCATACACTCATTCACTCTTCACCTTCTTCACCTTCTTCACCTCCTTCCTCACCTCCTTCTTCACCTTCTTCTTCACCTTCTTCACCTTCTTCACCTTCTTCACCTTCTTCTTCACCTTCTTCTTCACCTTCTTCACCCTCACCACCTTCTTCTTCACCTCCTTCCTCACCTCCTTCTTCACCTCCTTCCTCGCCTCCTTCCTCGCCTCCTTCCTCACCTCCTCCTCCTCCTCCTTCGCCTGCCTCTCGCACGCGGGCAGGCAAGCGCTCGGCCAAGAAGTCACGGCGCGCGGACGTGGACGACGTCACCCCCAACCCGCGTCGGCTGCTCAACATTGGCCAGGAGCTGTGCAAGCTCAACGCCGAGATCGGCGACCTGACGCCCGTCAGCGAGCTGCCGCCGACGGCAAGGCCGCGCTCGCGCAAGGAGAAGAACAAGCTCGCCTCGCGGTCAGCCTCGAGCGGGCGCGAGAGGGGGAGAGACTCGCAGGGAGAGCGAGGCTCGCCGAGGGAGACACGCCGAGGGAGATGGAGAGAGAGACATGCAGAGAGAGAGAGAGAGACTCGCAGAGAGAGAGACTCGCAGAGAGACACACAGAGAGAGAGAGAGAGACATGCAGAGAGAGAGAGAGACTCGCAGAGAGAGAGACTCGCAGAGAGACACACAGAGAGAGAGAGAGACACACAGAGAGAGAGACAGAGAGGCACACAGACAGAGAGAGAGAGAGACTCGCAGAGAGTCACACAGAGAGAGAGAGAGAGAGACACACAGAGAGACTCGCAGAGAGACTCACAGAGAGACACACAGAGAGAGAGAGAGAGGCACACAGAGAGAGAGACAGAGAGGCACACAGAGAGAGAGAGACTCGCAGAGAGACACACACAGAGAGAGAGAGAGACACACAGAGAGACTCGCAGAGAGACTCACAGAGAGACACACAGAGAGAGAGAGAGACACACACAGAGAGAGAGACAGAGAGGCACACAGAGAGAGAGAGAGACTCGCAGAGAGTCACACAGAGAGAGAGAGAGAGACACACAGAGAGACTCGCAGAGAGACTCACAGAGAGACTCACACAGAGAGACTCACAGAGAGAGACACACAGAGAGAGACACGCAGAGAGACACGCAGAGAGAGAGAGACACACAGAGAGACTCGGAGAGAGAGACTCGCAGAGAGAGAGAGAGACACACAGAGAGACTCGCAGAGAGAGAGACTCGCAGAGAGAGACTCGCAGAGAGAGAGACTTGCAGAGAGAGACACACAGAGAGAGACACAGAGAGAGACGCAGAGAGAGAGAGACTCACAGAGAGACTCGCAGAGAGAGACACAGAGAGAGAGACACACACAGAGAGACTCGCAGAGAGAATCACAGAGAGAGAGAGACACACAGAGAGACTCGCAGAGAGAGAGACTCGCAGAGAGAGAGACTCGCAGAGAGAGAGAGACACACAGAGAGAGAGGGAGACACACAGAGAGAGAGAGACACACAGAGAGAGACTCGCAGAGAGACTCGCAGAGAGACTCGCAGAGGGACTCACAGAGAGACTCGCAGAGAGAGACACAGAGAGAGAGACACACAGAGAGAGACTCGCAGAGAGACTCGCAGAGAGAGACTCACACAGAGAGAGAGACACACAGAGAGACTCGCAGAGAGACTCGCAGAGAGACGCACAGAGAGAGACTCACAGAGAGACTCACAGAGAGAGACACAGAGAGACTCGCAGAGAGACTCGCAGAGAGACACACAGAGACACACAGAGACACACAGCGACACACAGACAGACTCACAGAGAGACTCACAGAGAGAGACTCACAGACAGACTCGCACGCAGACTCGCAGAGAGACACACAGAGAGACTCACAGAGAGAGACTCACAGAGAGATTCACAGAGAGACTCACAGAGAGACTCACAGAGAGACTCACAGAGAGGCTCGCAGAGAGACTCGCAGAGAGAGACTCGCAGAGAGACACACAGAGAGACTCACAGAGAGACTCACAGAGAGACTCGCAGAGAGACTCACAGAGAGACACGCAGAGAGACTCACAGAGAGACTCACAGAGATACTCACAGAGAGACTCACAGAGATACTCACAGAGAGACTCACAGAGAGACTCACAGAGAGACACACAGAGAGACACACAGACAGACACACAGAGAGACTCACAGAGAGAGACACAGAGAGACTCACAGAGAGACTCACAGAGAGACTCGCAGAGAGACTCGCAGAGAGACTCACAGAGAGACTCACAGAGAGACACACAGAGAGACACACAGACAGACACACAGAGAGACTCACAGAGAGACTCACAGAGAGGCTCGCAGAGAGACTCGCAGAGAGACACAGAGAGAGAGACTCACAGAGAGACTCACAGAGAGAGGCAGAGACAGACACACAGAGAGACACACAGACAGACTCGCAGAGAGACTCGCAGAGAGGCTCACAGAGAGACTCACAGAGAGACTCGCAGAGAGAATCACAGTCCTGTTTGCTTATTGGTATTGTTTTATTATTTTTATTATCATAATTTCATTTAGTTGACTTAACAACTGCTTTATGTTTGGTTGCTCTATTTCAAATTAAAACATTTTTATAAATACATAGTACCATGTGGCTATGGCTCCATCGCACGTTTTAAATCTTGACTGTGGGAATTCATATTCTTTGGGTCACGTAGATAGAAAATTATTATTTTTTTTAAATCCTATTCATCATAAATATATTTTTTCTAATTTTATATTTATTATCAATATTATTTTATATATGTATTATGAATAATATTTTATATATTTATTATCAACATATGTTTGTATATATTTACTAAATTATTATTATTTATTTACTATTAATAGTATTTTTTAATATCAATATATTTTTTATTACTTTTATATTTATCATAAATACATATATTTTTTATTTTATACTTATTATAAACATTACTTTACATATTTTTTTACATGATAAATATATGTTTACATATTTCCCGTATTAATGTTATTTTTATCTTATTTTTTTACTATTTTGATATCTACGTGATCTTGCTGATGGACCCAGTCAATATTGAACTGAAACTTGACTTTAAAAAAAAAAAAATTTCCGATCGCAAATCAAATCGCAAAGATCCGTCAGTAAAAAAAAATCAATTTTGGTTTTTGCGTAGAGACATTTGATCCCTCCCTCTCCCCCCGAGCCGTTCAGCCCTGGCACTGACAGAACTTGCCCCTCGAGCCCCTTGACCGCTCCACGGGGACCTTTGTCTGCTGCTGTGTGTGCAGGGCGTGCCGTCTGAAGAAGAAAGCTCAGCATGAGGCCAACAAAGTGAAGCTGTTTGGGCTCAACGATGAACATGGTGAGGTGGTCGGCTCAGGCTCAGGCTGAGCATCACCTTCCACCTTCACCATCACCACCCTCACCACTCTCACCATCACCTTCACCCTCACCACTCTCACCATCACCCTCACTCTCATCATCACCCTCACTACCACCTTCACCATCACCACTCGCACCATCACCCTCACTTCCACCTTCACCATCACCACCCTCACCATCACTACCACCTTCACCATCACCACTCTCACCACTCTCACCATCACCCTCACCACTCTCACCATCACCACCATCACCACTATCACCATCACTACCACCTTCACCCTCACCACTCTCACCATCACCTTCACCACTCTCACCATCACCCTCACTCTCACCACCATCACCACCCTCACCATCACCCTCACCACCATCACCCTCACTCTCACCATCACCCTCACCACCTTCACCACCATCACCACTCTCACCTTCACCATCACCCTCACTCTCACCACTCTCACCATCACCCTCACCATCACCACTCTCACCACCATCACCCTCACCACCTTCACCACCATCACCACTCTCACCTTCACCCTCACTCTCACCACTCTCACCATCACCCTCACCATCACCACTCTCACCACCATCACCCTCACCACCTTCACCCTCACCACTCTCACCACTCTCACCATCACCCTCACCACTCTCACCATCACCCTCACCACCATCACCCTCACCACCTTCACCCTCACCACTCTCACCACTCTCACCTTCACCCTCACCACCCTCACCACTCTCACCATCACCCTCACCACCATCACCCTCACCACCTTCACCCTCACCACTCTCACCACTCTCACCATCACCCTCACCACCTTCACCACCATCACCACCACCCTCACTCTCACCACTCTAACCATCACCCTCACCATCACCACCTTCACCACTCTCACCACTTTCACCACTTTCACCACTCACCATCACCACCACCATCACTACCACCTTCACCACTCTCACCATCACCATCACTACCACCTTCACCACTCTCACCATCACCATCACTACCACCTTCACCATCACCCTCACCACTCTCACCATCACCCTCACTCTCACCACCATCACCCTCACCACCTTCACCACTCTCACCATCACCACCCTCACCATCACCCTCACCACCCTCACCATCACCACTCTCACCATCACCACCCTCACCATCACCCTCACCACCCTCACCATGACCACTCACCATCACCACTCTCACCATCACCATCCTCACCATCACCCTCACCACCCTCACCATCACCACTCTCACCACCACCACCCTCACCATCACCACTCTCACCATCACCACTCTCACCACCTTCACTCTCACCATCACCATCACCACTCTCACCATCACCCTCACCATCATCACCACCCTCACCATCACCACTCTCACCACCACTCTCACCATCACCCTCACCACCATCACCCTCACCATCATCACCCTCACCACTCTCACCATCACCCTCACCATCACCACCCTCACCATCACCACCCTCACCATCACCACCCTCACCACCATCACCCTCACCATCATCACCCTCACCTTCACCACTCTCACCATCACCCTCACCATCATCACCCTCACCTTCACCACTCTCACCATCACCCTCACCATCATCACCCTCACCATCACCACTCTCACCATCACCCTCACCATCACCACCCTCACCACCATCACCCTCACCATCACCACCCTCACCATCACCACTCTCACCATCACCCTCACCACTCTCACCATCACCACCCTCACCTTCACCACTCTCACCACCTTCACCACTCTCACCATCACCCTCACCATCACCACCCTCACCATCACCACCCTCACGATCACCACTCTCACCATCACCCTCACCACTCTCACCATCACCCTCACCATCATCACCCTCACCTTCACCACTCTCACCATCACCCTCACCATCATCACCCTCACCTTCACCACTCTCACCATCACCACTCTCACCATCACCCTCACTACCACCTTCACCCTCACCCTCACCACCTTCACCACTCTCACCATCACCCTCACTACCACCTTCACCATCACCCTCACCCTCACCACCTTCACCACTCTCACCATCACCCTCACTACCACCTTCACCATCACCACTCTCACCATCACCCTCACTACCACCTTCACCATCACCCTCACCACCTTCACCACTCTCACCATCACCCTCACTACCACCTTCACCATCACCCTCACCCTCACCACCTTCACCACTCTCACCATCACCCTCACTACCACCTTCACCATCACCCTCACCACCTTCACCACTCTCATCATCACCCTCACTACCACCTTCACCATCACCACTCTCACCATCACCCTCACCACCTTCACCACTCTCACCATCACCCTCACTACCACCTTCACCATCACCCTCACCACCTTCACCACTCTCACCATCACCCTCACTACCACCTTCACCACTCTCATCATCACCCTCACTACCACCTTCACCATCACCACTCTCACCATCACCCTCACTACCACCTTCACCATCACCCTCACCACCTTCACCACTCTCACCATCACCCTCACTACCACCTTCACCATCACCCTCACCCTCACCACCTTCACCACTCTCACCATCACCCTCACTACCACCTTCACCATCACCCTCACCACCTTCACCACTCTCATCATCACCCTCACTACCACCTTCACCATCACCACTCTCACCATCACCCTCACTACCACCTTCACCATCACCCTCACCACCTTCACCACTCTCACCATCACCACTCTCACCCTCACCACTCTCACCACTCACGATGAACATGGTGAGGGCTCGCTCAGCCTCACTACCACTTCCACCACCCTCACCACCACCCTCACCATCACCCTCACCACCACCATCACCACCACCATCACCCTCACTACCAACCTCACCCTCACCACCTTCACCACCACCCTCACCACCCTCACCACTCTCACTACCACCCTTACCACTCTCACCACCCTCACCACCACCCTCACCACCACCCTCACCACCACCCTCACCACCCTGTGTGGTACGTGTGTGGGTGTGGTACGTGTGTGTGTGTAGTACGTGTGTGTAATGTGTGTTTAGTACGTGTGTGTAACGTGTGTAACGCGTGTGTGTGGTGTGTGTAACGTGTGTGTAACGTGTGTGTAACGTGTGTGTAACACGCGTGTAACGTGTGTGTGGTGTGTGGTGCGTGTGTAACGTGTGTAACGTGTGTGTGTGGTGCGTGTGTAACGTGTGTGTGTGTGGTGTGTGTAACGTGTGTGTGTGTGGTGTGTGGTGCGTGTGTAACGTGTGTGTGTGGTGTGTGGTGCGTGTGTAACGTGTGTGTGGTGTGTGGTGTGTGTGTGTGTAACGTGTGTAACGTGTGTGTAGCGTGTGTGTGTGTAACGTGTGTGTAACGTGTGTGTGGTGTGTGATGCGTGTGTGTGTGTAACGTGTGTGTAACGTGTGTAACGTGTGTGTGGTGTGTGGTGCGTGTGTAACGTGTGTAACGTGTGTGTAGCGTGTGTGTGTGTAACGTGTGTGTAACGTGTGTGTGGTGTGTGATGCGTGTGTGTGTGTAGTACGTGTGTGTAACGTGTGTGTGGTGTGTGTGTGTGTGGTGCGTGTGTGTGTGTAACGTGTGTGTGGTGTGTGTGTGGTGTGTGTGTGTGGTGTGCGTGTGTGGTGCGTGTGTGTGTGCAACGTGTGTGTAACGTGTGTGTGGTGTGTGTGTGTGGTGTGCGTGTGTGGTGTGTAACGTGTGTGTAACGTGTGTGGTGTGTGTGTAGTACGTGTGTGTAACGTGTGTGTAACGTGTGTGTGGTGTGTGTGTGTGGTGTGTGTGTGGTGTGTGGTGCGTGTGTGACAGACCGGCTGATGAGCGTTCTGCGCGCCATCAAGCAGGAGATTGTTCGGCGCGTTCAGCAGCAGCAGCAGCACGGAGCCATCCACGAGGCGGAGAGCATGACGGCCAAGCTGGAGAGACTCATCAACTCCAGCCTGGGTAACGCCCCTCACATCCACTCGCTCGCTCGCCCGCTCACCCTCTCGCTCGCTCGCCCGCTCACCCACTCGCTCGCCTGCTCACCCACTCGCTCGCCCGCTCACCCACTCGCTCGCCCGCTCACCCACTCGCTCGCTCGCTCACCCACCCACTCACCCACCCACTCACTCACTCACTCACCCACTCACTCACTCACCCACCCACCCACTCACTCACCCACTCGCCCACCCACTCGCCCACCCACCCACTCACCCACCCACTCACTCACCCACCCACTTACTTACTCACCCACCCACCCACTCACCCACCCACTCACCCACTCACTCACTCACCCACCCACTCACTCACCCACTCACTCACTCACTCACCCACCCACTCACTCACCCACTCACTCACCCACCCACTCACCCACTCACTCACTCACTCACCCACCCACCCACGTACCCACGTGATCACTCGCACGGCTGAGCTAGCTAAATGCAAACTCACGTTGGTAGTTACCCTCACCACCGCCCCTTCTCTGTCTCCCGTCGTGCGTCCCTCCCCCCTCCCCTGCCCCCCCCGCCCCTCCCCCCCCCCGTGCAGGCCAGATGGTGGCCGGCCACACCCCGGAGTTTGTGAACTTGGTGCTGGAGCGAGTCACCGGCGGGGATCTCTCGGGGGGACTCCGTCCGGCGCTGGGGGCCGCTGCCGGGGCCGCCGGAGCGCTCTCACGACCCTCGCTGGCTCCCTCCTCGGGGGACTGAGCGGCGGTGGCGGTGGTGGCGGTGGTGGTGGTGGTGGTGGTGAGGGTGGTGGCGGTGGTGGCGGTGGTGGTGGTGGTGGTGGCGGCAGAGGCGGTGGTGGTGGTGGTGGTGAGGGTGGTGGCGGTGGTGGCGGCAGAGGCGGTGGTGGTGGTGGCGGCAGAGGCGGCAGAGGCGGTGGTGGTGGTGGCGGTGGCGGTGGTGGTGGTGGACCTGGGGACCCCTTAGCTCTGAGATGTCTCAACACGCGGGGGCCAGGTGCCGAGTCTCTTCACTCAAACACCTTCAGCGGGAGGAGGAGTGGTGTGGGAGACTGCTGACCCTGCCTTCAACTTCTCCACCGTTCACTCAGCCCCCCACAAGGGTGTGGGGGGCCTTCAACTTCTCCACCGGTCACTCAGCCCCCCACAAATGGATGGTGGTGGTGGTGAACTCCCCCCCCCCCCCCCCGCTGACTGCTGCACGGAGATCGATGGCGCACCCAGCCTAGCACCAGCGTCACCGTTGGGTTCCCGCTCACGGACACCGGCGGCCACCGCCGCCACCAACACTGAAACCACCACCACCGTAAATACCACCACAAAAAACCACCACCGTAAATACCACCACCGTAAATACCACCACAAAAACCACCACCACAACAAAAACCACCACCATCGCAAATACCACCACCGTAAATACCACCACAAAAACCACCACCACAACAAAAACCACCACCATCGCAAATACCACCACCGTAAATACCACCACAAAAACCACCACCGTAAATACCACCACCGTAAATACCACCACAAAAAACCACCACCGTAAATACCACCACAAAAACCACCACCACAACAAAAACCACCACCATCGCAAATACCACCACCGTAAATACCACCACAAAAACCACCACCATCGTAAATACCACCACAAAAACCACCACCGTAAATACCACCACCATCGCAAATACCACCACCATCGCAAATACCACCACAAAAACCACCACCGTAAATACCACCACCATCGCAAATACCACCACCATCGCAAATACCATCACAAAAACCACCACCACAAAAACCACCACCACCGCAAATACCACCACCACCGTAAAAACCACCACCACCGTAAAAACCACCACCATCGCAAATACCACCACCATCGCAGCAACCACCACCGCAACCACCACCGCCAGAAGTAGTCGTCGTAGTAGTTGTAGTACACATCGCCGGCGCCAAGGGGAGACAAAGGCGGCCGGGCGCGGCAGTGGTGGTGGTAGTTGTGGTGGTGGTAGTTGTGGTGGTAGTTGTGGCGGTGGTGGTGGTAGTTGTGGTGGTGGTAGTTGTGGTGGTGGTGGTGCCGGCCACCCTGGTAGGCTGCCCCTTGACAGACCTGCGCTAGCTACTCTGCGGCACTTGGCCCCAGCAACACGCGGAGTCTACAGAGTCCACAGAGTCGACAGAGTCTACAGAGTCCACGGAGTCCACGGAGTCCACTGAGTCTACGGAGTCTACGGAGTCTACGGAGTCCACGGAGTCTACGGAGTCTACGGAGTCTACGGAGTCCACTGAGTCTACGGAGTCTACGGAGTCTACTGAGTCTACTGAGTCCACGGAGTCCAGAGTCTACGGAGTCTACGGAGGGCTACTGAGTCTACGGAGTCTACGGAATCCACGGAGTCCACGGAGTCTACGGAGTCCACGGAGTCCACAGAGTCTACAGAGTCTACAGAGTCTACTGAGTCCACGGAGTCCACAGAGTCCACAGAGTCTACAGAGTCTACTGAGTCCACGGAGTCCACAGAGTCTACAGAGTCTACGGAGTCTACGGAGTCCACGGAGTCTACGAGGCCACGGAGTCCACTGAGTCTACAGAGTCTACGGAGTCTACGGAGTCTACAGAGTCTACGGAGTCCACGGAGTCTACGAGGCCACGGAGTCCACGGAGTCTACGGAGTCTACAGAGTCTACAGAGTCTACGGAGTCCACGGAGTCTACGAGGCCACGGAGTCCACGGAGTCTACGGAGTCTACAGAGTCTACGGAGTCTACGGAGTCCACTGAGTCTACGGAGTCCACTGAGTCTACAGAGTCTACGGAGGCTACGGAGTCTACAGAGTCTACAGAGTCTACGGAGTCTACGGAGTCTACGGAGTCCACGGAGTCTACGAGGCCACGGAGTCCACGGAGTCTACGGAGGGCTACGGAGGGCCACGGCGTCTGAGTCTACGGAGTCTACGGAGTACACGCTACAGAGTCTACGGAGTCTACGGAGGGCTACGGAGTCTACAGAGTCCACGGAGTCCACCGAGGCTACAGAGTCCACGGACTCTACGGAGTCCACGGACTCTACGGAGTCTACGGAGTCCACGGACTCTACGGAGTCTACGGAGTCCACGGAGTCCACGGAGTCCACGGAGTCTACGGAGGGCTACGGAGTCTACAGAGTCTACAGAGGCTACGGAGTCCACGGAGTCCACAGAGTCCACGGAGTCTACGGAGTCTACGGAGTCCACGCTACAGAGTCTACTGAGTCTACGGAGTCCACTGAGTCCACGGAGTCTACGGAGTCCACGGCATCTTTGCTTTGCGTGCACCCAGCCTGGCACGGGCGTCTCACGTCGCCTGGCGGCAGCGGTTGTCGTCGATGTTGTTGACACGCGTGTACGTGTGTGTACGTGTGTGTGTACGTGTGTGTGTACGTGTGCGTATGTGCGTGTGTACGTGTGCGTGTGTACTTGTGTGTGTGTACGTGTGTGTGTGTGTACGTGTGTGTGTGTGTACGTGTGTGTGTGTGTGTACGTGTGTGTGTGTACGTGTGTGTGTACGTGTGTGTACGTGTGTGTGTATGTACGTGTGTGTGTATGTACGTGTGTGTGTACGTGTATATGTGTGTGTGTACGTGTGTGTGTACGTGTGTGTGTGTACGTGTGTGTGTGTCTGTGTGTGTGTGTACGTGTGTGTGTGTCTGTGTGTGTGTGTACGTGTGTGTGTGTGCGTGTGTGTACGTGTGTGTGTGTGTGTACGTGTGTGTGTGTGTGTGTGGTGAGCGGTGGGCGTAGTGGTTAGCGCTACGAACCCCGGCGACTCCCGGCTTCGATTCCCGCTCGCTCACGGCCGACGCCGCCATTGACGATTGCCCGAGCCCGTCCCGGGCCTCCCCTAGGTCGACTCGGCCTCAAGTGAGTACCCGGTGCGGTGCGTGGCGGTGAACGTCGCCGCCGCCACTGGGGGAGATACAAAGGCGGCCGGGCCGTGGTGGCGCTGGCCACCCACCCGCCCTCTGTGTGTGTAGCCACAGTGGCCGGTAGCCTTCATAGACGCTGCTGCTGCTACTCGCTACTAACAGCACTTGCCCCTAGAGTCTGTTAAGGCTACACGGGGGGGTCTTTGTCTTTGTGTGTGTCGTGTGTCTCGACCTGTACATAGGCACCGTCTTGTGTGTGTGTGGAGGGTGGGGGGCACGGTGGGGGGCACGGTGGGGGGCACGGTGGGGGGAGGGGAAGGGGTTGGAGGAGCGGCTGAGGATTGTCAAAAAGTTGTGAGATCCCTCGCAATGGACGTGGATGAGTGGGGTGCAGATTCTCAAAATAATTTGACCCCCCCCCCCACCACCTCCTCCCCCCCCCACCAACTCCCCCCCCACCAACTCCCCCCCCCACCAACTCCCCCCCCCACCCCCCCCCCCCACCACCTCCCCCCCCACCACCCCGTACCTCCCACCCCCCCTGTATTTATGTCACGGCTTCCGGTATTTAACCGCGGGTGAGTCTGTGTGTGTGTGTGTTCACGTGTCTGTGTGTGTGTGTTCACGTGTCTGTGTGAGTGTTCACGTGTGTGTGTTCACGTGTCTGTGTGTGTGTTCACGTGTCTGTGTGTGTGTTCACGTGTCTGTGTGTGTGTTCACGTGTCTGTGTGTGTGTGTTCACGTGTCTGTGTGAGTGTTCACGTGTGTGTGTTCACGTGTCTGTGTGTGTTCACGTGTCTGTGTGTGTGTTCACGTGTCTGTGTGTGTGTTCACGTGTCTGTGTGTTCACGTGTGTGTGCACCTGTGTGTTCACGTGTCTGTGTTCACGTGTCTGTGTGTGTTCACGTGTGTGTTCACGTGTCTGTGTGTGTGTTCACGTGTGTGTGCACGTGTCTGTGTGTGTTCACGTGTCTGTGTGTGTTCACGTGTGTGTTCACGTGTCTGTGTGTGTGTGCCTGTGTGTATGTGAGTTGAGTGTAGGTGAGTGAGTGTGGGAGTTAGTGTGCCTGTGTGCATGTGAGTGTGTGTGTGAGTGAGTGTCTGAGTGTGTGTGTGTCTGAGTGAGTGTATGTCTGAGTGAGTGTTGGTGAGTGTGTGTCTGAGTGAGTGTGTGTCTGAGTGAGTGTTGGTGAGTGTGTGTCTGAGTGAGTGTAGGTGAGTGTGTGTCTGAGTGAGTGTTTGTCCGAGTGAGTGTTGGTGAGTGTGTGTTTGAGTGAGTGTTGGTGAGTGTGTGTCTGAGTCAGTGTGTAGGTGAGTGTGTCTGAGTAAGTGTTTGTCTGAGTGAGTGAGTGTCTGAGTGAGTGTTGGTGAGTGTGTGTTTGAGTGTCTGAGTGTGTAGGTGAGTGTACCGGAGTATACATGTCTGTGTGTGTCTTGTGTCTACGTGGGGAGTGGTGGTGCAGCGGTTAGCGCTACGCTGCGCTACGAACCCAGCTAACCCCAGTTCGATTCCCGCTCACGGCCCACAACGGTGATGGCGATTACCTGAAACCTTGTTCTGGGCCTCCCCAAGGTCGACTCAGCCTCAACTGAGTAGCCGGTGTAGCGGATGTGAAGTCAACGTCGCCACTGGGGAGACAAAGGCGGCCGGGCGTGGTGGTGCTGGCCACCTACAGCGTGCCGGTAGCCTTCATAGGTGCTGCTGCTGCTACTCGCTAACAGCGCTTGCCCCAACGCTCTGTTCAGCCTCGTCCCCTCCGAGTTCACGACCGGTCCTGGGCCTCCCCTAGGTCAACTCGGCCTCAAACTACTCCCTTGGTGCTGCGTGGTTGTCTAGCCCAGCGCCTTTCGACGAAGGCGCTGGGCAGACGGT